TATCTTTTTACATTATTTTAAATTCATTTTTCCATTCTGTTTCGATTTTCTGCATTCACCTCAAAACTGGATATTTTACATCACCTTTATTTCCATAGGATCCTGTAACGATTTTAAACCATAAGAACACAATAACAAATCATTTCTACTTCGTATTTTCACATTATCAGCACTTTTAAATTGGTGTCAATGGAGTCTACCTTTTTTCGATCTTTTAGCTAGTTTTCCGTAACTCTACAATCTTGGACTTTGTGTGGGCAGTTGCGCTACCTTTTTTCCTATATCAATAATATCTCATTTTCCACTTAAATCTTACCGTTTTCTTATTATAAACCAAAAACAAAAATTTGACATATTTTGTCTTTCTTATTTATATCGTTTCCATGGTAATTATATTCAAATTTGCTACCGATCTATTATTCCTATTTCGATAATTCCACATAAATCCTCTTTTCTCTTGATCATTTACAAAAAATTTGCGTTTAATTTAAATAATTTTTCCGTTCTCTCTAGAAAGGTATAAAAGCCGAACAATCGGTGAAGAAAGGCAGTCTCGCTTCAGTTCGCGAATTGGAAGTATCTCCTAAAGGCCTTATCCCGGGGCCGCACTGCCCCGGGATCCTGCAAGCCTCCATTTACAAGTGAAGTCTTCGGCGAAGCTTTCTTCAAACTCGGACCGCGCCACTCCGGTATCCTACAAGCCTCCATCTACCTCGGAAGTCGCTTCGAGTCTACTACAAGCGCGGGGGCCACACTACTCCGGGCACTACTACTACTTACTCCAGGCGCCGAGTGCACCTACCGCCGGCGCTACCTTTGGGCGCTGCAACTGCTGGCTCTAAGCGTTGCGCGCCCCTTCTCCAGGCGCTACGTGCGCCGGCTCCGGACGCTGCGTGAACTGGCTCCAGGCGCTGCGCGCCGTCGCTGCTAAGAAACCTACTTCTACAAGCGCAAACGGCGTGTGCTGGCTTCAGGCGCTGCGTGCCGTCGCTGCTAAGAAACTTACTTCTACAAACGCAACGTGTGTCGCTTCGACTTTTAGGCCCCACTTCAACGCTATATTCCCCTATTCTCTCACCTTTATTTTTTTTATAATCTAATTGTATTCTCACTTCATTCATCATCATCCTCACATCATTTTTTTTATAAAATTGTAAATACCTTTTATAAATTTAAATATATTGTTTTCTGGCTCTACTTTTGTTGTTTTGTTGTACTTAGGTTAGGTTCTATTTTTTTTTAATTGTCGCTTCACGACATTTGGCGCCCAACGTAAAAGTCCTCTTTCTCTCTTAATTCTTCACCTTTACTGCGCCTTGTCCATTCCCTTTTGATTTAATTGCTCTTCCTTTCGTTCTTAACTCATTATTCATCATTCATTTATTCATCCTTTTCATACCTTCCAAATTCTAAAACAACACTTCATCTAGTGTTTCAACGTATCTGGCTTATATTTAGACCTACATTTAACACTACACTTACATTCATCACTTTAATATTTTTATTGTAGATAACTTTCCAAATTCTAAAACAACACTTCATCTAGTGTTTCAACTTATCTAGACTATATTTAGACCTACATTCAACACTTCACTTACATTCATCACTCTAATATTTTTATTCTAGGTAACTTAAAGAGGTATAACTTTTCAATTAAATCTTTATTTCTTAAACTTAACTTTGAACGTTACACTTTATATAAAATTGTTTTTCAAAGTTGAAGCGAGACGATTCATAACTTTTCTAAGCATTTACTCTGTTAATTTGTATATATGTATAAATATCTAAACATTTATTAACTGCTAATTTGTATATATGTATAAATATCACATTTAATTTGTATATATGTATAAATATCACCATCATTTTCACCTTGTTATTATTTCTTTTAATTTGTTTGTTTGTTTGGTAGGTTAATCTTCACTTCTTATTATTTCAGACACATCTCGCTAGTGATGTTGCTGATCTCTGGTTTTGAGCCCTACCGCTCTGGCCGTTCTTTATCTTTACTTAAGTCATAGCGACTAAAGCTTGCTTAAGATTGATTTCTTTATCTTTATCTTCACGCAGGAGCGGATGACAACTCCTTAAATAAGCCTGAATGTCCTTTCGAAAACACACTTTTAAGAGTGGTGTTTCTTCGACTAATTTATTTTTTTTTCCACGCAGGAGCGGATGACTACTCCTTAAATAAGCCTTAATGTAGTTTCGAAAACACACTTTTAGAGTGGTAGTCATTGAATTTGAACTCCACCCTTACCTGAATGGCAGATGATGTATGTAAGAGATAGTATATCTGATTTTGCCTGGTGATGTCTGTTTCTGCAAAGCTGTGTTTTATGGTTTATTTTAGAATGTATATATCAAAATTTTTGCTGAGTCAAAAATTTTCCAGGGTCGGGGGGAAAATGTAGTGTTATACTACTTACGTATCTTTTTACATTATTTTAAATTCATTTTTCCATTCTGTTTCGATTTTCTGCATTCACCTCAAAACTGGATATTTTACATCACCTTTATTTCCATAGGATCCTGTAACGATTTTAAACCATAAGAACACAATAACAAATCATTTCTACTTCGTATTTTCACATTATCAGCACTTTTAAATTGGTGTCAATGGAGTCTACCTTTTTTCGATCTTTTAGCTAGTTTTCCGTAACTCTACAATCTTGGACTTTGTGTGGGCAGTTGCGCTACCTTTTTTCCTATATCAATAATATCTCATTTTCCACTTAAATCTTACCGTTTTCTTATTATAAACCAAAAACAAAAATTTGACATATTTTGTCTTTCTTATTTATATCGTTTCCATGGTAATTATATTCAAATTTGCTACCGATCTATTATTCTTATTTCGATAATTCCACATAAATCCTCTTTTCTCTTGATCATTTACAAAAAATTTGCGTTTAATTTAAATAATTTTTCCGTTCTCTCTAGAAAGGTATAAAAGCCGAACAATCGGTGAAGAAAGGCAGTCTCGCTTCAGTTCGCGAATTGGAAGTATCTCCTAAAGGCCTTATCCCGGGGCCGCACTGCCCCGGGATCCTGCAAGCCTCCATTTACAAGTGAAGTCTTCGGCGAAGCTTTCTTCAAACTCGGACCGCGCCACTCCGGTATCCTACAAGCCTCCATCTACCTCGGAAGTCGCTTCGAGTCTACTACAAGCGCGGGGGCCACACTACTCCGGGCACTACTACTACTTACTCCAGGCGCCGAGTGCACCTACCGCCGGCGCTACCTTTGGGCGCTGCAACTGCTGGCTCTAAGCGTTGCGCGCCCCTTCTCCAGGCGCTACGTGCGCCGGCTCCGGACGCTGCGTGAACTGGCTCCAGGCGCTGCGCGCCGTCGCTGCTAAGAAACCTACTTCTACAAGCGCAAACGGCGTGTGCTGGCTTCAGGCGCTGCGTGCCGTCGCTGCTAAGAAACCTACTTCTACAAACGCAACGTGTGTCGCTTCGACTTTTAGGCCCCACTTCAACGCTATATTCCCCTATTCTCTCACCTTTATTTTTTTTTATAATCTAATTGTATTTTCACTTCATTCATCATCATCCTCATTCCATTTTTTTATAAAATTGTAAATACCTTTTATAAATTTAAATATATTGTTTTCTGGCTCTACTTTTGTTGTTTTGTTGTACTTAGGTTAGGTTCTATTTTTTTATTTTTTTTTAATTGTCGCTTCACGACACCCTCTGGGTGACGGGCATGAGTATTTATGTATTATGTATTTATTATATATTTAATGTACTTATGTATTTAAGTAGATTTATGTATTTGTGTACGTCTGTATTAATATATTTACATTTGTATGATATAATAGAACACCTTCTATATATATATTCTGGTTTATACTAAATTCATTACCTTTTTTTCTCATTATTAGTTTACTTTTGCTGCACTACCTCCCATTTGATTATCTCTGTTTACCCTAATGGTTGACTGGGAGAGAATGCCTTAAGGCATTAAAAGTCCACCATATGTACGATTTTTCTTTTGGGCATAAAAGTTTAAATAAATAAATATACAATATTCGTTACAAATACTTTAAATTAAGTGAATTATAACATTTATAGTTTACCTTCATATTGCCAATTAAAAAATACATAATGGTCCGTGGTCGAACAATTGTACAGAGTAAAGATTATCGCCAAAGAATTTTAAAATATTACCCACAAATAATTACTACGTATTTTTGTGTGATTTCAAATATTACTTTTTTATTAGTGTGCGAAATGTCCTTTTTATAAAACCGTATTATCAGGGATTTTTATGACAAGTAGCGGTTACTACATTGCTTTTCGAGACAAAATGAGATAAACCAGGATGGGTAATCACCATTTAAATATTCCGTATATAATGTACCTGAAGGGGAGTAGTCAGTTCTGAGAAGAATTATGAAATAGAGTTGATAAATTTGATGATGAAGTTGATCTTCACTGGTATTCAATACCGCTTCAGTATTTGTTTCTTTATTTCATAGTATTGTTGTCACATGAAAATAATTTACTTTGATTCTCATTTCTTTGTACATTTTTAATCACAGATTTGGTTATCCCTATAACTAAGTTCATATTATATTTTTAACTTGATATTTATATACTTACTAGTTGTATTTACCATATTGATTTTATAAAAATGTCACACATTAAAAAAATTTAATTAATACAATAGTCCTTATTGTACACCTAGAAAAGATAAATATAACAAAAAAATAAAATAAACAAATAATGATGAAAAACCAACACGGGGTTTTATTCGTACATAGTTGGTCTTCCAGAAGAAGAATTAAATAAAAATAAGAAATAGTTTGAACGGGTAGGGTTAATTAAACACATCTTATTATTATTCTGGCCAAAAAGTGAAAGACGTTTTTTATGAAGCTCAGTCAATTTAAGGTTTTCATTGGTTATTGCCCTTTCATATTGGGCATTTTTCAAACTGTTACGCACGTGTAAATAATGTCTCGGAATTTGTAAATGTGTGTGTTTCAGGTCACTTCTTAGCCGTAGACTGTTCCGGAAGTGAGGCCACTGTACCACCAGAGTTAATGCAATATAGCATAAAGGAAAATGCCAACATAGACGCATCATTACGGTACTTAGTCGGCGAGACCACTACTCCAGAGAACATTGATCCTATAATAAAGTACGTATTAAATACAATTTTATTATCTTTCTCTTCTTGGGTGATAGGGCCCATTCTACCTAAGAAACTTACTAACTTACTCTTGGTGGGTACCGTCTTTTCCTACTTAAAGTAATAAGATTACTACATTTTTTGGTTGGAAGCTTCAGTAGCCTAATGGCAGGGCACGGACCGCGAACTCGAAAGGTCGTGGGTTCGAATCCGCTATTCGACTACTGTCGTGAACCACTTCTAACACAAGCATTTTAAGCTTACCAGAAGTGGTTAAAGGGAATATTAGTAATGTTTAATAGCATTACTAGTATTTAAAAAAAATTTTTTTTGATTTAAGAGTATGGTAGGACTGCTGGGCCCTATAGGTGACTGCTTGCGACGGCATTCGCCTTAAATATTGTCGAGAAGGGCAGTGCCTATCACATGTATCATACGTGTGAACATAATTGGCCTTTTCTCTCCAATAAAATTTTCTCACTGCTAGCACGTTTCCTTTCGGAATAGCCGTCAAAAGACACCACTTCTTTATTTATCTTTTATCTTCTATAGTTGATATACCGCGCGGCATTATAGACGCGTGACGCCAAAACCCTGGAAAAAAAAAACAAGAAACGTCAAACGTGGTATAATTTTGGACAAAATAGTAGAATTTTATTTTCTATGTACAATATTTTTGAGGGTCTGAATCTATCCCTGGCGTAACCTTGGTAACGTAACCGGCCACATAATGGTAGCCTTTGCGGACTTCGGTAGTAAAATAAAACTTTAAAAATGTGTTTTTAAAATAATTTCATTGCATTAAAATTAATGTAAGGCTATTTACTGCTAATACGATACCCCATGTTACTATGTATTGTAATTTTTGGGACCTTTACAACGAAACTAGGCACATTTATGACAAGCTAATACTCCTGCGCGCCGACCACTGTCGACTGAGTCGTGTTATTGGCATTAGTTAGGTTGAAGATAATAGCTAAAAGAGTTTAACACCTGCTCAGGAAAATGTTTAAGGGCTTGGTTGGAGATGCCATCCGCGCCCGGAGCCTTTTTGGGCTTCAGTCCTTTGATGATGGATGAGATCTCATTATTGGACACAGTGATAGGGTCAGAGGCTGTGGGGGGTGAGTTCCGGCGGCGGACCTCATCCTTCACTGTCTGGATGTGGGACTTGCTAATATGTAGGGGAAGACCAATATTATTAGCAACCGGGAAGACCCTTTCATTCTTCTTAAGGGAGGATTTTATAAGGGAGGAGGGCATTAGCCTGAAACTTGTTATGTATTATATTCTAACAAAGAGTCACTCAACTAGCGCCTGCTTGGATGAGTAAACTCAGCCTCGCCAACCCAGCCATTCCGTGAACTTTGTGACCTCCCCTCGTACATAGTCAGCGTACTTGATTGCAATGTGCTTTATGGGTTCTTATTTTAACCAATCCGTATTGATAAATTTTATTACACTTAAGTTGACTTTTGGCTCCGCATTTGCTATGAGTGTATCCAGGTCTAAAATTGCACACTGAAAAGGCTTTAATAAAAGGAAAATTGTAACAAATTTTCGCACAGAATTTTTGGCAGTAACTTTTAAAATAAACACAAATAATTATTTAAATATCTTTTTTTATATATGCGAAGTTTTTAAAATGGAATAAAAAGTATAAAATAATTTCTACTAGCCCCATACAGATTTGTAACCCCATATACTTAAATAAACCAAGAAACTTGTATTTTTGTTTAGAGACATTAGATTATTGATTTATTTTTTAACAGATTAGTTGGCGCCATTCTACGTATCAGCGAATGGGAATGCGCGGCTTTGGAAGCTGGACTTGGGAGTGTTTTCAGCCCAGAACTTTCCGCGACCATATCATGGTTGCTGAAGATTTGGGCCAATTCTTACTTAATGCTGGATCCAGCTGAGTATAGTGAAGTATGTCGAGTGCCTTCAATAAATATTATACACACACACGCAGTATTTTAAATAAGGTCATATTCTGTAAGCGTGGCCTTTCTTAATTTGTCTTTGTCATGCTCGCTTCCACTTGGTGTTCTAGTTTATTTTAATTTTTTACTAAAAAAGTGAAAAGGTATTAATTTGAACATTGAAAAAATACTTTGATACATGTTCTGATTAAGCGGACGTAGGTTTGGCACGATTTTCGAATAATAAATACCATTTCTGTATTACGTTTTCAAACTACTTTATAAATATTTATTTGTCTAAAAAATTTCCAGATGTCAGCAGTAATAGAGTGCGCATTTAGACAGGAGTCGACCGCAGCGGCATGGGTAGTTCAGAGGCTGGCGAAGCGTTCTAGCGTCGTGTTGAAGCACCTTGCGGCCCAGCCAGTAGCTGCCAAGCATGCCTTACAACTGCTGGCACACCTCACCAATGCACATCCTAAGTTAGTTTCCTTATTTAAGTAAAATCAATTTTAAAGGTGTTTAATTTATCACATTTTTAATTTCAGACTTTACGATTTTAATAGTAATTGTGTAACATAATATGACTTTAAACTGTTTTTTAAGTGCTGCTGGTTTTCTTGCTGGTTCTTTCTAAGACAGAGGCATTTTCCGAACCAGTGGTAAATTAAACATAGATCTTTATAATGTATATTGAATAAAAAAATCTTATTTTTATTTCTGTTTCTATTTCTATTTTAAGCATTTGCAGTTCAAACTTATGAATGGACTGAGGTAGACAAACACCCTGAAGTCTTAGTTAACCTGGGCTACCTCCAACAATGTTTTTCGCAATTTAATTCGCATCAATATCATACTTGTCTTAACAGCTTGCTGCTTGCTCTCTTCTATTTTCAAGATTGCATCCATATGTGGGTTGCTGAGCGCAGCGTTGCTAATCGGATTTAATTTGGTATTTCTGAATGAATTTACCCAAAGTCAGTTTTTTGGTATCTTTTTTAATACAAGTAATTCTGACAAACAAACACACAGTTCACCTGATTGTAAGTGGATGCTGTGGCCCATAGATTTTATTTATATCTATCCTCGATAAAGAACCAAAATACAGATACGTCATCACCCCTGACGACTAAGATACAATGCTTTGTTTCCAGTAAAAGAGTTCTTTTCTCTATACTCACGATACGAAACACAGGAGCATTAAGCTGCTATTTTACGCTAGTATTCTGCGAGAGTGTAATCCTTTCCCGATTGAGTAGAGCTATTCGTTTGACAACTGTAAAATTATATATTTTTTAAATTATTTACAGTAAGAACCAGTTGGCAAGCTGTGAAGAGTTCATGGCCTTAGTGGCGTGGGAGGCCTCGGGTAGTAATCTACCAGGAGAGTCGAGGAAGGAGTTACATAGAGTGTTTGCACGAGTTGCTTCTTTTACAGATGGTAGGTTTTATAACATGTTTATCTATACAAATAAATAAAATTGAAGTGTCTGTTTGTAATGTTAAAATAACAGCTTTTTACATATGAAAGTTTATCATCATCATCATCATTACAGCCCTTCACAAGTCCACTGCTGAACATAGGCTTCCCCCAAGGAATGACCACAAAGCACAGTACTGAGCCACCTGCATCCATCGACTTCCTGCATGTCTTACCAGGTCGTCACTCCATCTAGCGGGGAGACGCCCTACACTTCGTCCGCCAGTACGAGGCCGCCACTCGAGAACCTTTTTCCCCATGTGTTCGAGCTATATGGCCGGTCCATTGCCATTTCAGTTTACTAATCCGTTTGGCTATGTCGATCACTCTGATTCTACTGCGGATATTTTCATTTCTAAGTTTATCACGCAGCGAAATCCCGAGCATAGCCCTCCATAGCTTGCTGAGCGACCTAGAGCTTCCTCATACGGCCAGCAGTGAAGGGCCACGTCTCAGTTCCATAGGTCATCACTGGCAACACGCACTGGTTGTACAATTTCGTTTTAAGGTTTTGAGGAATGTCTGACGAGAAGATGTGTCGTAGTTTCCCGAACGCTGCCCAGCCGAGTTGAATCCGTCGATTGACCTCTCGGTCGAAGTTGGACTTACCTAGTCGGACTATTTGTCCCAGGTAAACATACTCGTCAACAACTTCGAGCTTAGTGCTCCCAACAACTACCGGCATAGGTGTGTCATGGACGTTATACATGATCTTTGTTTTGCTATGTTCATCTTAAGACCTATCCGTTGGGAAACACTATTGAGGTCATTGAGCATAGTGCTTAGGTCCTCCAGCGATTCTGCCATAAGGACTATATCGTCGGCAAATCGAAGGTGAGTGATGTACTCGCCATTTATGTTAATACCGTATCCTTTCCAGTCCAGAAGCTTGAAAACGTATTCCAATGCAGCGGTGAAGAGTTTCGGGTATATAACGTCACCCTGTCTTACACCTCTCTGCAATTGGATAGGTTTCGTACTCTGGTTCTGTACTCGGATAGCCATCGTAGCCCTACTGTACAAGCACTTCAGCACTTGGATATACCGACAGTCAACTTGGCACCGCTAAAGGGACTGCAGCACCGCTCAAATTTCGACGGAATCAAAGGCTTTCTCATAATCCACATACGCCAGATATAGTGGTGGATTGTACTCCTTGGACTCGGTATGTATGCTGTCAATGGTGCTAAAGCCTTTTCGGAAACCGGCTTGTCGGGAGGCTGGAAGTCGTCGAGACGCATGCGAGACGATTCGTAATGACTCGAAAACCGCACGTAGACGCGGCTCAGAAGGAAATTCTAATCGCGCTCAGACTGACGTCCGGAATATCATCGGGATAGTGTCGAATAATACTTGCACTTGGATCGTTACTCACACTTGCGTGTGGCTCCAATGATGATATGTACAGCTGCCCATAGAACCTCTCAATCTCATTCGAAATCTCAAGTGTCCCGGAAACGACGCTGCCACACTCGGTCTCCAGCTTTGACAGTTGGCTCTGTCTGGCAGACAGGTCTCTAGCAAAGACTTTGGAGCCCTCGTTCCGCTCGATCGCTTCTTCAATACGAGCTGTAGTGGAGATGAGTGAGTCCCGCCGCATAAATTTGGAGATCTGTCTGTTCAGTTGCCTGTACGATGTCAAATCTGCTGAAGACTGCAGTTTCATTTCCCGTCTAACAGCCATGATACGAGGGCTGCACTAAAAGTGTCGGGAATAGAATATTTCCACTGTTCCTGTCATATTAAAATCTTAGTTGAAAAGTCCTTGGTTTTACAAATCGAATACCATTTATTTATTTAAAAAAAGATTCTCGGTCTTGCCACAAGGTTTTATCAAACTTGTTTAGTCGTTGAGATAATGGAATTGACTCGAGAAAATTCAAGAGCGATGATTTATTATGACTTTCGAAGTGGTTTTACACAAAAACAGTGTGTTGACCGGATGATTTCTGCATTTGGTGATGAAGCCCCATCCAAAACCACAATTTATCGCTGGTTTGCTGAATTTCAACGTGGACGTGTCAAGCTCAGTGACGATCCCCGTCAAGGTCGTCCACAAACTGCAGTTACCCAAGAAAACGTTGATGCTGTGCGTAAGCTGATTGAGGAAGATCGACATGTGACATACCGCGAAATTCAGGCAACTTTAGACATTGGCATGAGTCAAATACAAATAATCTTGCATGAACAATTAGGTGTAAAAAAGTTGTTTTCCCGATGGATACCGCATTCGCTCTGTGAAGAGCAAAAAGCGGCTCGCGTTACTTGGTGCGTCAGAACTCTCGAAAGATTCCACGCAGGATCCTCAAATGCTGTATACAACATCGTATCAGGTGACGAATCCTGGATATACGCGTACGAACCCGAAACAAAAAACCAGTCACGAGTTTGGGTGTTCGAAAATGAGTTAAAACCAACAAAAATTGTTCGTTCACGGTGTTGCAAAAAAAATGGTGGCCACGTTTGTCTCCAAAACCGGCCATGTATTACGACTATTCCTCTTGAGGGACAAAGAACGGTTAATGCAGAATGTTATGCTAGCATTTGTTTGCCACAGGTCGTTTCTGAACTCCGTAAAGAGAACTTCAACCGCCGCATCATCCTCCATCACGACAATGCGAGTTCTCACATCGCCCACAGAACAAAACAGTTTTTAGAGCAAAAAAACATAGAATTATTAGACCATCCGCCGTACAGCCCCGACCTAAGCCCTAATGATTTCTATACTTTCCCTAAAATAAAGAATAAATTGCTTGGACAGAGATTTTCATCACATGAAAAAGCTGTGGACGCCTACAAAACGACCATTTTGGAGACCCAACTTCCGAATGGAATGGTTGCTTCAATGATTGGTTCCATCGTATGGAAAAATGTGTCAAATTTCGCGGAGAATACTTCGAAAAGCAATAAATACATTTTTAAATAGTAATGTTGTGTCACTTCCTTGATTCCCGAAATTTTCAGTGCCGCCCTCGTATTAAGAGTATGATCGGAGAGTTTTTTGTTCTTCTGCGGTGGGTCTTTTTAAAATGAAATCAATTTATTATTTTATTTCATATTTTTTTATAAAATTGTAGGGACAAACGAAATTTACAGTCTACCTGATGGTAAATGACTACTGAAGTCCATAGACATATGCGGCCAACGTCAAACAAAGAAGGCTACAGATGCGTTGTCACCTCTGAGGACTAAGATGGAATTCTTTATGGCTCGTAATTATACCAACTTTGTATATTCTCCATACGGGAACACAGCAGTGCAAGCACTGCCATTTAGTGAAAATAGGTAAGAGGGTCGTGGTTACTCAACGACGAACTCAAGTGCGTAATCATTTGATACGATTGATACGATACGATGTCAGCATCTTAAGATCTTTGCTAATTAATAAACACGTAAAAACAGTATCTCAAAACACTGTGCTTAGGAATACTGTTGTGTGACTTGCACCCAAGTACACACACTTGAGAGTCGAGTTTAGTTTATTAATCAGTGTGACACTCAGCTGATATCGTAAACCTAAACCGCGTCTTGAGATATGTTTATTAATAAGATCATAACCTCAAGATTGTACTCAAGTGCGTGTACTTGAGCTGAGTAACGTTTATTAATACGGGCCTTAAAGACTGATTAAACCCTAACATCGATATATAATTTGTTCATGTTCATAATTACTGTATGTGAAATAAAATTCACAGGCGAAGCGAAAAACCGACTGTTAGCCAGCACAGCAGCACTACAACAAAAACTGATGAACCTGATAAACATGGATACAGACACGGAGCCCGTCAGAAACATGCTTGCTGATACACTCGATTGCTTCCTTGGTGTTTCTGAAGGAATGCTTGAGGTAACGCCCTGATTTTCAACTTTTAATTATTATTTTTTGTCAAACGTCAAACACCTCAATCCCCTAGACCATGGGTGCTGTAACGTGCCTTAAACGTCGGAAATTAAAAAAGTTAAAATTAAACGCGAAAAAATCGGTAAATTAATTTTATTTCATGTGTATTATTCGCGAAAATATAAGAAATCATTAAAAGAAATATGTACAGTTAAGTAAATACAAAATGATACCAAAATATATCAACCAACCAAGTTATCTAGTTGATTCACTCTAAAACGTACCTAGTTCGTAACTTAAATCCTTTCCAATGTAGATTGATGCTCCTGGTTGTTTTTTGTTCTTTTATAGGACAATGGTTGTCAGCCGAGACGCTTCTGGTAGTAGGTAGACCAAACAATGTCTTTTAAAAACTAAAAATAAATCTTTATTACTTGAAAAGTCAATAGATTTGCTTGTGAAATACGATATCCACATTTATATAAGCCGCCTATACACTTTCTTGCCTTGTACTCACTCCCATTGTAATCGAATGGAAAGGCAGACGCATAACGAACGTCGACAATAATAAAGTGCAGGTCCGCCGAGTATCTGGTTATTAGATGGTGGAAGGGGGAAGAAGGAATCCATTACATTCTTGCACACTCTCTACAACAGATTTTTGGATAAAATCTCGTACATATTTGAAATACTCATTATCAGTATATTACTGTATTTATATCTTGTTTTCAGTTTGGGACGATGGACGATCAACTAACAATGTTATTTGGTGCCTTAGATAAGATTCCTGGAATCATATTCAAATATCACAACTATCCTGGAGTGGTGCTGCCGGCGCTTAATTTTCTTTCGAAGAGTGCAAAGAACGCAATGCATTCGCAGCAACGAGACACTGTCAATAAGTAAGTATTAATATTACACTAGTGATCACCCAGTGTTCGACCGTAATTCATGATTTATTTAGATTGTATGTGGGTAAACTAATATTAAATATAATAGCTCTTCAAAGTATTCTTCATTAAATTTTAAACACTTTTTCATTTGTTCAAATCATTTTTGAATACAAGGTGAAGGAAAACATCGTGAGGAAACCTGCATGTCTGAGAAATAAGAAAAAAAATATTTCGAAGACATGTGAAGTTCGCCAACACGCATTGGGGCAGCGCGGCGGATATTTCTTTGCCCTAAAACCCTTTCAGTAATGAGAGGAGGCCTGTGCCCAGCCGTGGGACGTAAATAGGCTGCAACTTTACTTTTTTTTACTTTAGAAATCATCGTTCTAAAATCTTTAATTAATTCCATTTTTGTTACGGATGACGAATTTCAACTAGTGATAAAAACAATTGACACGCGACGTCCTGCCAAAAATTATTTTAATCATTTTATGATTTTCATGTTTAAAAAATTATAACATTACAAATTCAAACATTTATGAGATGATTACTCCTTGTACATATAAACACTCATACAGATCCGTGCGCGCAATATGCTTAAAAAGGATTCAAAGTTTTTTCTTCACATATTAAGATTATAGATTTATACACGGATTTTTTAAAGTATAAAATGCAAAAAATGTTTGTTATTTCAGATTCGTAGATATTTGCAATACGACTTTCGAAGTGTATGCTAGATGGAATTCGGGAAAAATTTCGAGCATTCCACAAGATGCGGAAGAAGAAGCTTATGAGGTAAGTGTGGTAAAGTATATCAATTAATTTTTTATTAAATGAAAATTTCTTTATTACTTACCACAAAACCACAAAAATAGTAAGTAAGTATAATTAAAGGAGATGAACTTGATTCCATACAAACTTGGGCCCGGTGTAAACAAACTTAAAATATGTGTTAGTTTGAAGATTTAAATATTTGCTACTTATATCCAAAAATCTTATTTTTGCCGGGTCTGGGGTTTTTGTTTTTATGTTGTTTTATGATTTGTAGGTTATGTAGTAAAATCACTCGTTTTTTTGATAGGTTGTTTTGAATAAATTTAAAAAACACAAAAGAATGCAGTGTTGTAGTTATTATTATATAAAGTAAAATAAAACTCAACCTTTTTTAATTGTTTAACTATTTTCTGCAATTATCAGTAAAATGTCATCTAAAAAAACAGCCGGAGGTTGTACATTGTCTGTTCTATTCCTCTCAAAACTTAAGTATCACATTATTTTCATTATATGGGCGCAACACACTACTGTCCTGTGACCCGAGGGAAAATCTATTCAAAAAAACAGATACAATGCCAAATGCGCATGCCGTTTCCGCATGACAAGCTGAAACTTGAAGTTACCAAGTTAAGTCTCCATCGGGATATGCAATGACCAATAACCATACAGCCTATTCAGTCGTGTAGGATAATATTCAAATGTTTTTTGATTTAATGACATAGCCTATTCAATCGTTTTCTAAATATATTATTTTATTCAATATTAATAACTACAGATTCGCGTCAATTTTTCAATATTATGAATTTTTTTTTTGGTAAGGAAGGTTATTTTATTATAAAAATAGCCTTTATTATCTATTGCCATAGACAGAACAGAAAGACATTTATAAACGTTTCGTTTTTGCTAAAGCAAAAGCATTAGCTTTCTATTTCAATTTAAAAAAAATATTTTTATGATTGTCTAAAATATTTTGTATAAAAACCATTTATTTATGCTTATAATTTATCGTTATATTACCTACATATTTTTGTGTAACTGTTACGAACGATGTCAACAACCCAATTTCATACATATCCTTTTATTGGGATTTTGAACATAGTATCGCACTTGTAGTGCACATGTCAAATGTTCAAAACGGTACGGCAAAATTATATTGCTGTTTTGTGTAGTTATTTTATTACAAATTAATTAAAGATATTTAAGTCGATGTAACTTACCGAAAGTGCGAATCATTATTTTTTTTTCATGGATGTTAACAAGTTATTTTTGCACCTTTTTGCGGAACACTTTGGCGGCTTGGAGATTTCGCACGTACCAGAGGCTAAAACTATGCTTTCTAGAACTAGAAATCTACGCAAAAATTGTTCACGCAGTATTAAGCTGAACGTACATTTGTCCGCGCCGCACGCGCCGTACGCGTCGAATTTTAGAATTCGTTGTATGAAATCATATGAAACCTCGCACATTACAGCTGCACCGTACGCGCCGAATTTTATAAAATGCGGTAGGTATATACGATATCGAAGGACGAATGATGACGTCATATAACGCGGCACGTTCGGCGCGTGCTAATACTCGGTGTTGTTTAATGTTGCCAACTTTGTGGATTTTCCACTATAACTGGTGGTTACGACTTACATGATAATTTTTGTATTTTTATAACTATTAATTCATTCGTAATTAATTATACATAATTAGATTTTTTTGCATCGATTATCAATATGTATTCTTAGCGATAAATTATTTAAATACTGAACTAACAAAAAAATAATTAAATTTAATTCAAAAACTCAATCATACCTGATTACTTAATTATCAATAAAATACTTACCTTAAACATACAATTCCGAGCATAGCCCTCTCCATAGCTCGCTGAGCAACCTTGAGCTTCCTCATCCGGCCAGCAGTGAAGGACCACGTCTCAGTTCCGTATGTCATCACTGGCAACACGCACTGAGTGTACAGTCTCGTTTTCAAGTTTTGAGGTATACCTGACGAGAAGATGTGCCGTAATTTCCCGAACGCTACCCAACCGAGTTGAATCCGTCGCTTGACCTCTCGGTCGAAGTTGGACTTACCTAGTCGGACTATTTGTCCCAGGTAAACATACTCGTCAACAACTTCGAGCTTAGTGTTCCCAACAACTACCGGCATAGGTGTGACATGGACATTAAACATGATCTTTGTTTTGTCCATGTTCATCTTAAGACCTATCCGTTGGGAAACACTATTGAGGTCATTGAGCATAGTGCTTAGGTCCTCCAGCGATTCTGCCATAAGGACTATATCGTCGGCAAATCGAAGGTGAGTGATGTACTCGCCATTGATGTTGATACCGTATTATTTCCAGTCCAGAAGCTTGAAAACATCTTCCAATGCAGCGGTAAAGAGTTTCGGGGATATGACGTCACCCTGTCTTACACCTCTCTGCAATTGGATAGGTTTCGTACTCTGGGTCTGTACTCGGATACCCATTGTAGCCCTACTGTACAAGCACTTCAACACTACGATATACCGACAGTCAACTATTGGCATCGCTGAAGGGACTGCAGCACCGCCCAAATTTCGACGGAATCAAAGGCTTTCTCATAGTCCACATACGCCAGACATAGTGGCAAATTGTACTCCTCGGACTTCTGTACAATTTGCTGAAGGGTATGTAAGTAGTGTAGTTGTACCACTTCTAGACCACCTGAGTCAGACGTGGTTCAACGACGTTCGTCGACGCCCGATCCTAAAAAAAAAAAAAAAAAAAGGTTTTGGCATGCTCTGATCACGAATCCGCGGTCCATTTTTGTGTAGAATGCACGGTTCCGGAGATGTGTAGATCAATTAGCTAATATCTAATTGATATCCGGTAAGGGCCTCCACCGTCATTAGCGTCCCATTGTTCCTATTTCTATTGTTCTATTGTTCATTAATCACCCTCATTGCAGCGTGTGCGTCGACTATATCAGTGCTATTGTTTATTATAATTCTTTGTTTATACAACGCTAATCTGAATCATCAATAAAACACATTACATAATTTTGTTACAATTTTTATTTATAAAATACAAAATCTTATTAATTATTATCTATAAAATAGGAGCGAAACATCTCATCCACTAAAATATCGTTGTACAATGTGTTCCTTGTAAATATACTCGTAAAACTATGTATTGAACATCCTTGAAACTTATATAGTAAATACATTAAGCAATATTCGCCACAAACTGAAGTCCACTCATTCTGAATCCTATCAACATTCCAGTTCCATCTTTTACAATTCCTTTTTAAAAACTCTAGATGATATCGTACAGGTGATCGTCCATATGAATCAAAATATTGACCGACGTCATTCGTATCGATATATAAAGCTACCCAATGTGACCCTGGTTTATCATCTGTATCCAAATTACATATTATATACGTTGGTACGTGGGTATACATAGGCAGTCTATTAGCTGCATAAACATTATTTTCTAGACTGGGGTGAATCTTTTTCAGATGTTGTTGTACATCTAGTGTATCCATGATATTACTGCTATTAGTAGATTATTACAGTACCTAGCTACTCAATGAATAACATAGGAATGGTCAATTATAGTGATTTCTACATATTAAATTGCATTTTTGTGATATACAAATCGTACTTGAGTCATTGATCACCAAACAAAACACAATACGAAGAAATGTTGAGATAGGCAACGGAAATGTGAGATAAACTGATATGTTTCTAAATATTAAATTGCATTTTTGTGTTATACAAATCGTACTTGAGTCATTGATCACCAAACAAAACACAATACGAAGAAATGTTGAGATAGGCAACGGAAATGTGAGATAAACTGGTTGACGCATAAAGTAATTATCAACTCATTACGGAAATACTTTAGATTAGAATTTTTACGTACTGGTGGTATATAAGACCAACAAACGCAGTCATCGAGTTAGTGTACGGTCGTTTGGCTACAGTGGATCTATCAATAGTACATTTGTGTTACTTCAATACACCAAAGGCTATGGATGTAAGTGTTTATTCTATTGACTAAATTACTTTTTTTCTGTTATTTTCATGTGTGTGTGTATTATTTTATTTAAATATTGTGTATGTATATGATTAAGCCGTGGTAACTCAGATGGTTAGCGCTAGCTGTAAATTTCACAGTACGCGACCCGGGTTCGATCCCCGCCAGCACCAATTAAATTGTTAATAGCAATTTTAAGTGCTTATTACCACGTGCTTGGTGGTGAAGGAAAACATCGTGAGGAAACCTGCATGTCTGAGAAAATTTCGAAGGCATGTGAAGTTCACCAACACACATTGAGGGAGCGCGGCGGACATTTCCTTGCTCTAAAACCCTCTCAGAAATGAGAGGAGGCCTATGTTCAGCAGTGGACTTTAATAGGCTGTAACTTTAACTTTTTTAACTTTTATGATTAAGTGTTAACAAATTGATATTAACATGATAACTGTGTTGTTGCAGAAATCATTGAGCTTCGATGAAGATACCTATAAACAGTATTACTACTCGCCACTCTCCCCTCAAGAAGAGAGTGATAACCTCGTCATTAATAATAACACATGCGATGGTGGAAAAAGAAAATCGCAATCGATTGATCATTTTTTTGAAGCTGAATCAAAAATAAAAAAGAGGAAGGGAAAACTTCAGTGAAGTGTGCACCAGTGCTTTTTTCTCCACAATCATGGAAGAGAATACGGAACTATTCAATAGCGAATTAAATCAGGAGTTGCCTAAAGTTTGTAAAGAAATGGAGAGGGGTCAACTGTTCGATTCGTCATACGATGATGAGTTGTATCATCACTGTGCGATGGTTGAAACACAGTTTAAGTATGTAAAATAAACATTCATTTCGATCATAATTTACATATTGTCTTATACAGTTTTTAATAAATTTAAACATTTTAGCAGTCAACCACTACAACTTGGAAGAGGAACGAAGCGAACGTGCAGCAAAGAATCCAAGATCATCAAAAAACCAACAACGGAAGCAGAAGCGCATACCTCTGCAGGGAAC